ATAATTTTTAGTAATTCAGATGAAATACAGATTAATAAGGCATGTAAAGTAGTATAATTCCGTGACATTTAGTACATTCACAATGTTATGTAACTACCACCTCACCTCTATATAGTTCCAAAACAGTTCATCACAACATAACTTTTAATCAGTCACTCCCCATTCCTCTTCTCCCATCATTCTCAGCAAACTAACACAAGAACAGAAAATCAAACACCGCATGTTCTCACTCATAGGCGGGTGTTGAACAATGAGAACACATAGACGCAGGGAGGGAAGCATCCCACACTGGGGTCCGTTGGGGGGAAATAGGGGAGGGACGGTGGGGGGTGGGGAGTTGGGGAGAGATAGCATGGGGAGAAATGCCAGATACAGGTGAAGGGGAGGAAGGCAGCAAATCACACTGCCATGTGTGTATCTATGTAACAATCTTGCATGTTCTTCACATGTACCCCCAAACCTAAAATGCCATAAAAAATATATATAAATTAAAAATAAAAGAATGCTGAGATTACGTAAACCTCTATGACCTGTCCCGCTTTCTGATACCCTAGAGTCTATAAAGACAGAGTATGTTTTTTCCATGCTCTCTTAGAAGACATTCTTAGCAAAATTGGTTTAGAAAAAGGTTTGTTTAGAAAGAACCTTTGAAAATATTCATTTGCCAAATAGAAAAATTTATTTTGTATTTGGCAAAACTCCCAGGATGATATGTATCCTTTAACCTGAAACAAACCATGTTTTATCACAGGAATAGACTTAAGTATATTAAGTTCATCAAAACTTACTGTTTTGAGTTTTGTCAGTAGCACACTCCTTTTGGTACAGCTTTGCTTTCATTTCTTATAAATTATGTAAAAATTGCTTTTCAAGATTGGTAAAACTTCATGATTTGTTTAATGTAGCACAATTCATTAGGCCCACAAGTGGCCCCTGACGCACACTGCTGAGGACATCAAACCCATAAGCTTTTATTAACTGATCAGCATTTTTTCGCTAGGTACCTTATCCCCTCCACTTCATGATGCTGTCCTTGATAATGTAGTGATGCTCAACTAGCTGGAGGCCACACATACAAGGTAGTAGAGTCTTGACAGATGTTTGAAAGGATTACTAGTTTTCTCTGTTAACTATGTCTACCTTAAATTGATTTATGATGGCACAAATTAGCATCTAAGAGTGAAATGTCTGAGCACTCAAGAACTATAGCCATCAGCTACTATATACAAGTGAGATGGAAAGTCCATTTCTTTAGAAATTTTGTCAAAGGAATTTTAGTTTCCTATAGGAAGGAAGGGATGTGCTTCATGAATTTAGCCAACTTGAACTTCATACCTATAAATCATACATTTTCCTGCCATAATATGCAATGCTTGCTTTCAAATCTCTTGCAAAGATACATCAAGATGAATATCAATTAATGAAATTTCCTGACATATTCTGGGATTCTATGAAAATTACTAATGATATAGTGCATGTTTAATAAACAATAAACCTTACGTCTGTCATGTTCTTGCTAAAACTATTTCCCCCTCTGATAATTGTGTGAGAGGATAGAAGTATGATTACACTTCTTGTCAGAATTTCCTTGAAAAATGTTGTATGCAAAGATAACCAAGCTCTTCAGCATAATTCATTCACAGGCCCACAGCCAATGTAGTGCTTAGGGGTATTGCTGAATGCCATTGCGCACTCACCTCTCTGAAGATGAAAATCCCCTATGGTTGCTCACCCTCAAGACTCCAGGAACCTCTCTCAGTTTGGAATAATGGCTCTCTAATATTAACCTTGTATGTTTTATCTCCTTTGAGTTGTTCACCTCTTACCTATGCTTTGAGGTAATATCCTTCACCTAGAAGCAATGATGCTTTAATAGTGGAGTCGTGCAGAAGAATAAAGACTTTTCCTTTTGTCCCAAGGCTTCCATTATTCATCACATTAAATGGAGAGCATAGAAGTATTCATATTATATTTGACTACATGTGATAGTGGAATTTCAGTTGAAACTCAGGTCTACCATCTTCAAGAAATTGACAGAATTTTAATTAGTCATCATTTAAAGAACAGTTTCGACGTTCCTCAAAAAACTAAAAATTGAGCTACCATATGATCCAGCAATGTGACTGCTGGGTATACACCCAAAAGAAAGGAAATCAGTATATTGAATAAATATCTGCACTCCTACATCAAAAATTAGTTACTGAGTACACCTTGCATACATTTGATTTTTCTGGAAACTAAATCTTAGTGATACTTCAGTCAAAGAGGAGATATAATTAAAGGCAATTTAAAGCAATTAAAGAATAATCTAGGATAGAAAATGCAGCTCCACTGCAAATTTTACATAATCAATTTAATGGGTAGAAAAGTGCCACTCCTTTGTTTTTTAAATAATCTGGGTCCAAGCCACCACTTGCTGCTTTGGTGGTGGCACACACGTGCACACACACACACACACAGTGACACGTACATAAACACATTTATGTATGCGTGTATATATATATGTATACACATAATGCATTTTAAACTTATCTGATTTAAATAAGTTATGCAGTCATTTTAGGTAATACTCTAAGCCTCATTTGAGTTAAACTATTTCAGTCTCTCGGCTCTTTGTGCTCCTGGCTCTTTTCCTTAAAATTGAATCCTGCCTAAGCGTCTTCATGGAGGCAGAGTGGGTATGTTTTGGGGGTAATGATCTCTCTCTCCTCTGATATATGGTTCAATACCCACTTAGCAACAGCCCTTGGTGGAGATAAAGGAAGACATTGAAATGAATTCAAGGTGCAACTTTCATTAATTATGTTAGCATGGAGAGTGAATTTAAAAGCATATTTGCTGAACTAGAAAAAGCCAAAGATGGTACCCAAAAATGGTATGAACCTAATTCCAGGATTCCAGTCTACAGTCACCAGAATAATTTGTCTCTTTTCCCTGCAACAAAAGAATAAAACCATGAACTCATCAGAGTTCTCTCCTCTCCTTCTTTCTTTCATTATGTTCTGAATTTATCCAAACGTTACACCTCCTGACATGCAATTCAAAAAAATATGGTGGGAAACTAGAAGTGATTGTTCACATTCTAATATGTTTGGTTCCCTAAGAATCAGCAGTGTGAACAGGTACAGATTTAAAACAACAACAAAAAAATGCATTGGGTGTAGTGCATGCTGCAGAGTATAATATTTCATGTACTTCACGCTTCAAAAAAGAATTGCATTTACATTACTTTCTACTGTATAGGAACCTGAAATTTAAATCAGGAGATGATCCAGAATCTCTTGAGCATAGTCTCACTAAGTGTCTTATTTCTTTCATCAAGTATGCCACTTCTGGACATTCCACATTGACCCTGGTGGCATGCATCTCAACCTGACCTTCAGATTTAAGTCTCAGAAAGCTTACATTATTAACATCAACACTTAGTTCACTTTGACTGAGTTTGAAGCTGTGGGAACCTGTCTTAAATATTAATGAAAAGGATGTTGAAGGAGAAAAACTCAGAGTTCTAAAATTCAAATAAATGTAGATAATAATGGGAAAGTTATAGTAAAAATAAAGATTAAGCCTGAAGAGTTGGCTAAACTGTTAAAAGGATGGAACAGATATAAGTTAAATCAATTTTTATATATTATTTCAGAATTTAAAGGAGAAATAAAAGCATTTAAAATACCTATTTTTCTGAATTTCCATTTTAAAAACAGGATGATAAATAAAATTTCTCTAATAATAAATACATTGAATTTATATTATAAGATACTGAAGGAATCTTTTATTTTAACCCCACATCTACACATGTGTGGAAATTTCATACTAGAATATATTGTAAGAAAATGGAGTTCTAGTTTCTAGTTGGATGCTGTGGTTAGCTATATACATGACTTTAGTCAAATTGCTTTACCCCTCTGAGCTAGTTCTAGCATGGTCATGTGGGAATGGGTTAGCTGTCATTGCAAATCTCCAGTGAGATGGCTTCACTTCTTAATCTATGTGAATGATACTTGTAGTGCATATATTTTTTCTAAAGTATATGAAAAAAATCAACTTCCTAGAAACTGCAAAAGAACAACCAGGAAATTAAAATTTGGCAGTCTACATTCTATAATTTGATTTAAAAAGAATTTCTGGACAAGAATCAGAGCTCTGAAAAGGTAGGACAAGACATAAATCTTTCCATTATCTTGACATCATTCTTATGAGTAGTTATTTGAATTGGGGTAGAATATATACGCAGTAAAATGCTCTAATATGAAACGTAGAGCCACCTAATGTTTTTGATATTCACCCTTCTTGTTACTAACAACTGAAAAAAACACAAACAAACAAACAAACAAAAAAACCAGAAAACTCTCTTAGCACGTAATTATCCAACCAAACTTCGGCATTGAGGGACTTGACAAGCTCTAGCATGTCAGCAGCCTAAGACTGTGACACTAGGATGACCTTTGTCCTCCTTAAAATACCTGCCTGATAAATCTAGATGTTGCCAGGAAAATTTAGGTCTTTTCAGCAAAAATAATGATGAAAGTTCAGAAGACACTGGATTCTGTCCCCTATTCCTATAGTTATTACTGAATAAAATTTGCCTTTACTGCTTTCCCTAGTATCCAGCTTTATCTTTGACATTATATAAAACAATATGTTTATGTTGCTGAATAGAATATTACAGGCCCCTCAACTCATCTTAGAGCAGTTTCTTTAGAAAGCTTGCATTTATAAATCCTTTCTCTTCTCCTTTGAGATATGAATCTTTCACCGTTGAAAACTATCCCCTCAAAACCGGAAAGCTATCTTTTTGGAGTGCATATCCAAAAGGAGACAGCTCTCTCACTCTTGATAACAGTTCTCATGGGAAGATAAGGTCCTAACTTTAGTGGATGCCTTGCTCCACTATGTACTACTGCCTCCTGTCATCCAAATAGGAGAATCTTGTTTCTCTTCCAGATAAGCACCAATTAGCAAACCAGATGGCTTAGTCACATGGACCAAACTCCTCCTTAACACCCTTCAGTGCTTTTCTTTTAGCACACTCCAGCCTTTAACAGTCTCCTGCCTTTTGTTTCAGCAAAGTTCAAGTGACACTAGTTTCTCTTTCCCACTGCCATAGTAATTGCTGAATAAAATATGTCTTTACTGCTTTACCCAGTATCTAGGTTTATCTTAGACATTATATAAAGCATTATTTTTATGTTGCTGAATAGAATTTCATTAAAATAATATGCCACCTTTTATTCATTCTACTTTTAAATAGCTTTTAACTAAACCTCTTTATGAAACAATTTTATACTGGACTAAGGTAAATTGCACAACTATTATGCACAACTATTAGGTTGCATTGGTAGATATTGGTAACATCCAATAGTTAGATATAGAAAAAGCTGTCTAACTTCTCTCCCCTGGGACCTCAGAACCAAGTGGTATGTTACAGGTCATGGGTAATATTCTGCTACACATGCCACATTTATAGAAATGTAAACATAATTTTGTTCTTCTCTGCATTTAATAAATGTTTTGCCTGAAATCTTTATGTAAGGTGGATATGATGCTATTTCAGAATCCTCAAAAAGTGACTGAACACATGAATCAGAAGTAATCCTGTACTCAGAGTACCACTCTAAAAGGTACAGAATCTGGCCTTCTCCAGACCTCCTGTCCTGATTTATGCAAAGACAGAAATATAGACAATGTTCTAGCAAATCTACACATAATTAACACCATTTTAGTAAACAATTAAAATTATTCCTTATATTACACTAATTAACAAACTATCTGGAGTTGATCAAAAATAAAGTTGGTTGAAGGATACTTCTGGAGCCTGAATTTCTTCGTAATAAACACTAGAATGTTAACAAAGTCGGCCTTTTCATGTATATTCTTGATTAGGGGACTCAAATGATCACTAATGATATTCAGAGGATAGACTTAAAACAAACACACATACAATATATATAATGTATATATATAATATTTATATATCATATATAAAAATATATATATAATATATATAAATAAAATATATATATGAAAAGGATGAAGGAAAAAACTCAGTTCTAAAATTCAAATAATATATGTTATATTATATATATATATATATATATATATATATATATATATAAAAAACCCAAGCCATATTTTAAAGCAAATTGTAGATAACATTAAGAATTTTATTTCAAACACCCAGGTCCAATTTGCCCAAACAGAACTAATCCCTACATTAAAGAGTTAGCCCAAGGAATTTGCTTTTATTGACAGATTAGAGCATACCCATGGCTGTTCATTTGGCTGACTCTGTCCTAGCTTCTCAGCCCTGGGCCATCTGTGAGGTTTAACTCTCTTTAAAGAATCAAAAGTAGAGGGAAAAAAAGAAAAATTTCATCTCTTATTATAGCATATTGGTGAACTCGAGCCCTTCACAGTTAACTCTGAAAAGAACAAGAAAATTTCTTTTACTCATTAGCAATTGTCAAAACACATACTGTCAAAAACAATTTTATTTCACCAAATCTGAAGTTGGATAGTGCAGTTCACATACCTGCGAGTCAGATGATCTAGGGTGGGCTTGGCTGACTCACCTCTATGCCACATGCCTCATTTGGGGCCAAGGCTGAATGTGCAACACCTCATGAAAACTCTTCTCATAGTGAGGCCTGAGGTGGAAAAGCACAAGCAGAAACATATGAGGCCTTTAAGGCCTAGAGTTGAAACTCACTCTTGGTCGATTTTACCGACATGTAATAGACCAAAACAACTTAGCGCGCCAAGCCAAAGTCAAGGGGCTTGGAGGGGCACTAGGCCTTTGATGAAGCCACTGCAGGGAGGTAAATGCAGGGAGGGCTGCAGCACTTGAGCCTGTCTTTCAGCATATCGGCTCCCCACAAACCAAAACATAGTATTTCCCTTGTCATTATACCTATCAAAGCAGTATTGACAAAATGATACTAACTCCATGTAGTGTCAGAATTGTATTACAGTTACATCAACTTGGGGGTCCAAACAGCACAGGGGATTTACAGTTTTATCCTGGATATACAAAATGAAAAAAGTCTATTATTATGCAAAATTTATGTATGTAAATAAATCCATTAGCATTAGCGACATCAAATGTATAGTAATATTTATATACATTTTCTGTCTCATACTCAGGAGCAGGGCTACTTTCTTATATAATGAAAAGTTTTCTGGCAGCTAAACTTCAACTTTGGTCATTATGTGGACCAAAATAACAGCAAAAGGACTTTAACTGCTGTGTAGATACATTGTATTTCTCTACTAATTTTTTAAATGAACAGAATTGATAATCCAGGTGATTTCTACCCAATAAGTGTTTTGGTTACAATTGTACGGCAAATACTCATGAAATATGCTGATGGCTGGAAAACATCCATGAAGAAGGTTGATTCTGAGCAAGTTGGGCTTTATGGGGAGCAATTAACTTTGGTTTTATACTCTGCTATTAGTTATTTCAAACCCACGGAGTCTCTTTGAATTCTTTATTTGCAGACCTCTTAGGAGCTGGCCCAGAGACACTCGGTAGCATTCAGATCCAGCAAGCATGTCTTACTTCCACTTTAGCCAAGTGCCTTACAGAGTCAAAGTAGAGATCTGGTTCCTTGAAATTTATGATTTCTACTATGAGGCTTACCCTCTATTTTTTTGTGTTTGTAATTTTAGTAGAATAAATCAATTGATTCGTTGAATCAATAGGCTGCTGGAATTACCAATTCTAAAAGGCAGTGGCATTTCAGGAAAAAGGTCAGAGAATTAGTCTTGGATACAATTGGGAAGTGGAAATTTAAAATTCAGTTCTTTCTGCATTTCCTTCCCTGCTTTATTTTTCTCAGCACAGAAGTCCCAAGATGTGAGGTCCTCAACAGTCCCCCAGAATGACACGGTCTCTCAGCGCATAATTTTCCCTTTACTCTTCTCACCCATCCACTCATTGCCTTTGTCCATGTTTGTCTGTCATACAGAAAAACATTTTGATGCTCTAAATGACAAGAAAATCCTTCTTACCTAGCATCAGAAACTGTTTCCAAACTAAATGCTGCATTCTACGAGAAGAGTTGGAGGGCCTGTGTGAGACTGTTTCCTCTAAGTCAGAGCTTATCAAGCAATTATTATCCATCAAAATCACCTGGAGGACAGGTGAAAGGAGATTTCTGGAACCTGCACCAATACATTCTGGTTTAGTAGATTTAAGATGGGCTCGAGAGGCAGCAGATCTAACAGGCTCACAGGTGATGTTGCTGCTGCCTCTACCTTAGGGACACGAGCTTGAGAACCACCGCTTTGAATCAAACAACCTGAGACGCTTCCTGATTCATCTAGAGATCCAAAGAGCAGAGTAAGCAAGATGTTATTCCCCTTTCATTGTGAGAATCATAAACTGTTATGGGAAGAAAAGTATAGGATTTAGAAGATCTATTTGGCATCTGCTTTGCCACTTGCTGGCAGTGTTGTCTTAGAAAATTTCTTTAAAATCTTTAAGCCTCTTTTTTCTTGCTTAAAAGAAGAAAATAAATCCAGGGTCTCAAGTTTGTTATGTGGCTTAAAATACAATATATGTGTAAAGGTGCCTTGTAAACTATCAAGTGCTCTACAAATGGTATCATTGCTCTGAAATAAGGGATTGTCCAGAAGGGAGCTATCAAAAATAAAAGAAGATCAAGCATGTTTTCTGAAAACTGGAGCTACCTCTGTTCCTTTTGCCACCTACAAATCTACTAGTTTCACCAAAATTATTCTTTCATTTATATTATTGAAATGCTGTAGTAAGTTTCGATAGGAGGCTCTATTCCCTGAAGAGGCACACACACAGTGCAGAGCTCATCATCTACAAAGGGAAACACTCTGACATCCTACATATTCCAAGAGCAACTGTTGTAGAAAATCCATTACAAACAACACCAGTTCAATCTTAGAGCAAGTACATTCAGAAAACATCAAAATAAAGTTACATGAACCTGAGTTGTTTAATATACACCATTCCATTATTTTCTCATCTCTCAGATGGCACCTAATAATTGGGGAAAAATATTTCTTGTGATTATAACACACATCGTTATGTATTTCATTTATTACACCAAAATCCCATTTCAACAATCTCTATACCCTAGTTCCTGAAAATATCATTTCCCAAGGGACTTAGACTAAGTTCCAGGAACAGCTGGGAGGAGCCATTGTATTGTCCTCACAACAGTTCTCACATGCAGGAGTGAAAGCAGGAACAGATGGTGGGCGTCTCCACAGCAAACAATTCTAATGCCTTGGAAACATTTGAAGGCAGCAGCCCTTACAGAATGCAAATAGCTGCAAACCACAGGATGGGTTTTTTTCATTAACATCCACGGTCTCTCACTAACATAGGAGCAAGTGAACAATTAGGGGCTGAGATAAGGGACACAGAATCCCATGCAAAGCCAAAAAGAACTGAGAGGTGAAGGCGATAATAACCCCAACACATTTGATGCCATTGTTCCTACCCCCACAACCCCATTCCTGTTCAATGAAATTATACATTTATACCTGCGTAAGAAAGTTCTGAAAATAAAGGAAGGCAAGGAGAAAGCTACAGCCTTGTACAGGAGGAAATGTGTATTTCTTCATCAGCACTTCATCTCACCCTCTGGCATTCCCATGCTGTAGCTTTAAAAGTATAACCTCTCATCAAAGGGGACAACATAAAGCCTCTGGGGCCAATCAGTAATGAATGCCTGTGAATGTGACCTTATTTGGAAAAAGAGCCTTTGCAGATGTTCAAGTTAACATGAGGTCATTAAGGTGTACTCTAAGCTAACATAATTGTGTCCTTATTTATTTATTTTTGAGACGGAGTCTCGCTCTGTTGCCCAGGCTGGAGTGCAGTGGCTCTATCTCCGCTCACTGCAACCTCCACCTCCCGGGTTCAACTGATTCTCCTGCCTCAGCCTCCCTAGTAGTTGGGATTACAGGTGCGCACCACCACACCTGACTAATTTTTTGTATTTTCAATACAGATGGGGTTTTGCTATGTT